AATCAGAATCCATAGACTTTGTAGACAGTAGCCTGAGTAGGGACAGGGGGTCGAAAAGTAGGGGGNGGGGGGGGATGTTAGCTTATTTAAGTCACTAAATTTGCCCACTACATGCTCAACAGTTGTGCTAGGTAGATAGACCTCTCTGATGTGCCTCAAATGCAACTACTTGTACATACCAGGATGCATTATTAACAAGTATCCAATGCATGAAATTTATATACAACTAGTACTGGTTTCCAAACCTGGCTCATGCTAATAATTCAGTCATTAAAATCTTTAAAAAGTGGCTAAAATATTCCTTAGAATCTAGCCAACATGGTTAAAGTTTACCTATTCGCTATTGTAAGCACTATTCACATGACATTAATCAAAATGACCAAACAAATGGATAAACCTGGAATTTGTTTATATTCAGTCTTTGTTTTGGTCCGTCCATATTGGGGCAAATTATTCTTGTGTTGGCGGCCATGTTTTTGACTGTGAAGTTGAAATATGATTGAAATATTGGAAAGTTGTTCCAGATTATTTCCAGTTTTGGCAACAAAATACTAGACTAAGTATATATAAATATGAGCCTAAATACTTAGACTAAGTAGATAAGCAAGAAGCCTAATATTCACAACTTGAGCCTGCTTTCAAAGCAAGGAATTATACAATCCTCTATTTCTGTCCAACAGTACCCATTCGGTAATTATTCTGCTCCAGGTACAATTGTTATGCGGGTTAAAACTAGGTCAGCTATTGTTCTTGACATGCAAATGTCACTGTCCAATTATCAACTTGATACAAATTATCCTATAAGGGAGTGTGTTACATGCCAAATTACTGGTAGTATCTCGGCAGCTTGTACTGGGTCACCCAGGAAAAGCCAGAAAGATAGTCCATGTGAAAACTAAAGAACATTGTAATTGACTATTTGGCCCTTCATCCAGTCAGATTTTCTGCTATCTGGCACCTAACATTGCACTTGGCCATGGGTTTATAGATACATGTAGTAGTATGTGTATTTTTGTTCGCTGCATTGACTGTTAGCACCTATGACGTATAAAAAATAATAGCAATGGTTACAGATTTTATTATGATGCATACTTCTCAAAGTCTGAGTAAGGCCCCACCTATTTAATTTCTTGGTTATCGGATTTTCTAGAAAAATAACGGAGCGGGCGGAAAAAAAAAATAAAAATGAAAACAGGCCTAGGCTTCCTATTATGGCCCAAAATGGTACGATAGGAGCCATGCAGTCCGCACACCAGGCTGGTTCAAAATTTAAACAATCATTTTGAACTTTTAATGATACCATTGCATTGAAAGATGGAATGACTGTAACAAGTAGTAAGGAAAGGACTGTTTTCAACTGTTCAGGGCAAATATGAGCATTTTGCAGTTGATTTTGAATTTTATTTTATTGCAAATCAGAAAAAAATGAAGCGGTGAATCCGTTAACCATAATTAACTTGGTGTGGCCAAAGTGCAAGCAAAATTTTTCTCTTTGTCTGGTGCAGGTTAAATGTTTACTGCACCAGTTCAGGTATGCAGTGAAAAATATTTTGAGCCCTGGGGTATTCTGCTAATGATAGATGAGTTTATCCATGGAGTTTGAAAAGTTGTTATCAACGTTTATTAAATTTTTAGCCATGTCCAAACTCTATTCTTAGTGTTAGCCAGGTTAGAGGTTATAACCTCCTTGCTAGAATTCATCCTACAGTGAGCTAGGTATTGGTGGACAAAGACTAGATTTTTAACCTCCTTGTTAGGACCTACACATGTACAGGATTGTACACGTCATGTACATATATATGGCACTCATGTGGAGCAGGTTGACTGGTCAATCATATCCATTCCTGCCATGTCAGAGATATCCATGACTCATTTGTATCTTTGAAGACAATGTTCTTTCATAATCCTGGAAAATACAGTCTAGAAAAACTGCAGGAATACACACAGAACTACAATAATGAAGTGATATAATAAATTGTGTATAAACCGCCATCAACCTAGAAGCAAGTTTAATGTTAATTTTTTTAACTTCATTGGGAAATTACTTTCAGTCTGGTCTGAAGGCTTAGGCCATTTAAGCCCAGCCTGTTCAACCTGACACACCGACGGGGCTGTTCAACACACCAACGGGGCTGTTCAACCCCGTCGGGGTAACCTTTGAGCCCAGACTTCTCATGAATTATCACACAAACTTGCTAATTACACTGGTGTGAAGATGTGAATTCTCATTAATTCAGTGGTTTTCATGGGGTGTTCATGAGGATAATTGGATGCGGTCTGGGTGCGGGGTGGGTTTCCACCCCGACGGGGTAGAGTTTACTCCCGACCGGGGTGGGCTTCTGATCCCGTCGGTGTGGCTTGTACACCGACGGGATTGCAATTTTTAAAGTGAAATATCTTGACAAATATGTATGTTTTGACCATAAAAAAATAACCTGGTACTGAGGATAACATGATCTTTCAAATGGTATGTAAAAATTTACTGTACCTGCAGAAATGGCAAAGTTGAAAATCAGGGATTTCAACATGGCCGTCTGCAAATTCGGAAAGTGACATTCCAAAATTGAAGTGACCAGTGTTACATGACTGTATTAGTAATTATGTATGTTCATCTTCTGTGCATAGTTCGTAGATGGCAGCTTGTGTTACATAGTCATAGCCAATAAATAGAAAAACACAGCAACAATATAGCTTTACAGGACACTTATAAAGGCAGTTGCATGCCTATGGTCTGTCAGTTAAGATTTTTTGCACGTAATTCATTTTACACTTTGCAGTAACGTGTTTTTGTCATACAATTTGATTAGATATGCTATAGTAACACAATAGCTGCCTTTGACAACTAAATGCACTTGACAGTTCAGTGTGAGAACAAATCAATGTATGCATAATATGCAACAATATAAATGCCATTATATGTTATCAAGACATCAACAATGCATTCAAGTCTCTCAATCAACTTTTCCTAATAACTTGTGCACAAAAAGATCATAATCATACAACAATTATGAATTATTAGTGTCTCATAAATTAGAGTTTAGACGCTCTTATCATGCATTAAACATTTCATACACATACACATGCATACTACATCAAATATGATACACATACAAAAAAGATTAACAGTTTAGTAATATGCAAAAAAAAAAAAAAAATGAACAGATTAAGCGTTAGCGTTGTATGATGTAATCAGTATGATCGCCTGTGGTCCCTCATAGGGGTTCTGGCAGCCCTGGATCACGGTCGGATCAAATGATTGGTTCTCCAAACCATCGATTGGCAGCATGGAGGGTGTGCATGGGGGTTATTAGCACCTTATCTCTGTGTTTAAGTCTAGTACCAGACTGAGTGGGTCAAATGCTTCACAAAGTCAGAACAGAATTTCAGCAAAGCCAAGGAGACAACAGAGTAACTTTCTTTGTTTTTTGTTGATTGTTTTGTTTCCTTTGAGTAAAGTTTCCGTGTAAGTATAACTGTGAAATAACCCCCAGCGTGGTGCGTTGTATCACAGACGTAAGTCTAGTGCCAGGCAAGTTTGGATTGGATGAGAGAAGGTAGTACATGGGTAGAGAGGTCCTCACCATTGGTTCGTCTGTGTTTTTCTGGAACTGTATGAGGCGGACGCGAGTGACGTTCTCCAAATCGTACTGGAGAAAAGGAGGGATCAGAAGTTTGGGTAGAAACATGACGGGAGGACGCCGTAGGAAGGGTTTACTTACATCCAGCCGAGGCTGCCCCCCACCCCAACCAACCAACATCAGGAGGTCTCAAAACAGGGGTCTCCCCAGACATTCTTAAGGGAGAGGTGCTCCCTAATCAGTTGATGAAAAAATGAGTGAATTTTCATCAAATTTAAACACTAAGAGACAACCCTGAATTTAACATTTTGGGTGCTAGGATTTAAGGGAGAGGGGGAGCACCCTTGCTTCATTGCTTGGGGAGAGCCCTGCAAAATCAACAAATCGAAACGTCTCATCCTTACCATGGGCTCCTCGGTGTTCTTCTGGAACTGGACCAGGCGTACGCGCGTCACGTTGTCCATGTCGAGGTCCCCGTTCGGACTCTCTGGATCGTCGTCCCCGTTCAGGTAGGACGACGTCGGGGGCGGCGTGACGCGGATCGCCTCGTCACTGTACACCTCGTGGGCGACCACGTCATGGCTCTGTAGTAGGGCCTGGGGAATGGGCAACAACATAATGTTATAAACATTCATCCGATACTGTGCTCGCACTGAAACTACCAGTGCCAGAAAAGACTAATTTGCAGACATAGCAACGTCAGGACTGTGTGGTAGAGAAAGCCAGAATTGTGTATTGAAACTTGAAATTTGGTGCCAGAAAAAAAATTCATCAACCACACAACGACATGTAGTACGGTAGGACCTGTGGAATGGCAACAAGTGCTGTAAACATGCATCCAAAGCTGTGGCAATGCACGATTCAGTGCCAGAAAAATCTAATTCGTCTACCCAACAATGTCACGACTGTGTAGTAGAATGTGGAATGGCAACAACAAGCTCAGTGTTGCAAACAATTGTGGTATAAAAAAAGCTTCTAGCTTTCTTGGAAACCCCTAGATCTCGGCATTGAAACTAGCAGTACAGTGCCAGAAAAACTTATTTGTGCCATGACAACATCACGGCCCTTTACTAAAGCTTGTGGAATGGCAACAAGCTCAATGTTGGAAACAATCGTTGATTGAAATGCTTCTACCGAGTAGCTTTCTTAAGCTTGGACACCCCCCAATCCTGGGTATTGAAACTGGGAAATCGGTAATTCGTGAATGTAACATAATTTTTTCTAGACAGTACGTAGTATACAATGTACAATGTCATGTCCATGTATAGCACAGGACCATACATGCATACACAACATGTTTTACATGCTAGAGGAGCTACGTTTTTCTGGAATGTGGGAAACTGTCCAAAGACGATACATATACCTCTAGTAGAGCGCTGTTACAGGACAGAATCCTTCCTTCTTGACCCTCCATACTCTCAGACAACCCTCCAAATATGAAGGTACAACGCTGACCCTGCCCTGACCCTAGCTGAGGTCACCATCACTCAACAAGTCAAATTAATGGCAGCGGGTCAGGATGGACAGTCTCTCAGTGTAAGGCAATCAGTTCACATCACAGGAACTGGACTCAAACTTGTAACACTACCGTATCACGACCTTGCTACAGAGGTCTGGGATATTTGTAAAAGTGGGAGGGGGAGGGGCGAGAATGCCAGGAGTTTGCATCATACTGTGACAGTATGTATATTGCATTCTAGACTCAATAAATGCAATAATTCAACAGAAGTTACATTTAGAGAATAAATTTTGTATCTAAAAATCCAATGAGTGTGCATGTAGGGTTTTCTGTGCACATTTAGTAGACTGTACATTTTGTAATTTAGAAATTGCCATTTGACATTTCTCATAATGTACATGTGGCCACATCACAGTGTTACCCCAAGCCACACTGTCAACTCCAGCACCCCAGTAACACTGCTAAAAATACATCATATGACCATGTTTCTATTCTAAGGTTCATACTGCACTGTTGAAGTCAGTTGTGGTAATGTTGATACATCAGAGGCCAAAATTTTCTTGATTGCTTTTCCAGTCTTATGGAAGAAAAAGTATGATTTAAAAGTACTGTAAATTGTGAAATTTTCGTGGTGGTCAGTAGTAGGGACAGGGAGGTATCCACAGTATTTTGACTTTGGTTTGGTTGAAACAATAATTAATCTGTAGTACATGTAAAAAACTAATCATACAAGGAGGACATATTCACTGTGTCATTCATTTGCAGTGTTGAAGTCACCACAAAAATAAAACCATCACAAAAGTTTCACAATTTACAGTAACACAGTACAACTTTCATCCACATCACCTTGTTTGGATAAAAGCTTGGACCCTTGGTACATTGGTCATCAATAAATCATTGCATGATCTACACGTGCCTCCTAAACTTGGATTCTTATTGACACTTTCAGGCCAGACGTGTGTGTTTAGCTGCACGTATCACTCCACAAGTTAAGTGTCAAGAGCAAAGACCTCATGAACTACTGTACATTACCCAGCATATACTACCATGGCAACAGGACCTGATGTTTCTATACATCCAACGGTTCCAACCTTTTCAGTTCTCTTTGTTTCACATCCAGTGTTCAGGGAGGAGCCCATACATGGCCAGAATTCCTGATGGACTCGAGACTGAGACAAACTTTGTTCCATATTTAGCACAACTCCAACTGTCCTGAAAAGGCCAAACTTATACGTATGTAGTCTTAAGGGCACTGTGTATATATATGGTATACTAGTAGTCAATCTTGTCTGTAGTTAGGTCTCAAGGGACACTAGTCTGGAAGAAAATGGCCACAGTGGACATATTTTACATGTGATTCTTCAATCTTGATTCAAAGGTAACAAGACATGTTCACAAAGATCACTTGTCTACTGTTACCCAATACAGACACAATACTGATGAATAAATTCTGAGACTGTGTATATATATATGGCACAGTCAATCCTGTTTGATGTAAGTGATGTCACGAGGGACTAATCTTGAGAAAATGGTTGATTCTTCTACAGGGACAAGAGATGTTCACAAAGATCTCTACTGTTACCCAATTGACACACTGCTGATGAACAAATTCTGAGACTGAGTGTGAATATCACATTTCTCCACCTCGTAAGTCACATGAGAATATTAAGTGCACTTCTCTCTACCAAGTTGATGACAGTCAGTCCTGTAGGGGTGCGTGAATGAAGGCAAATCTACCACAATCGATACCAAATCTAGGAAAATATCTGATAAGCTTTCTTCCATTTGTTGGTTAGTGGCGTGATGCCAGGTCGACAGGCTTGATAACTCTCATGGATAATGTCATCTGACTTGATAAAGTACCACAATGGATGGAGATCGCTCCACCAGGGTAGGGTTTGTTGTGAAGATGGATGGACAGGGGAGATGGATTCTTGACCTGAAGACAACTCTTTTCAGTCGTTACGTTCTCATTCTTCTTAATGATTGTGTTCTTCTGTATCTATTAGCTCATGTGAAGTTCAACGTAATAGTATACATACATGTACTTCAAAGCAGTGTATGCAACACAAGGTTAGAATATTTTGAGAGGGCCAAAGCAAGGGCATAAATCCTTGCCTTCTTGAATTCTTCCATGTCAACCTCTAATTCCTGCTGACACAGATTCAGAGACATTTGACCTCCTATCATTCTGCCTGTCAGTCTTCCTCACCCATGTGCTGTCAACCTACTCTGTCTTGACAAACAGATACACAAACCCACAGCTCAGCCACCCAAAACAATATTTCTAAACAGACAGAAATAAAATGAACCAATAGATCATAGTATGAAAATACAGCTGTAGTCTTATTCAGAACATGACCATCTCCAATTTTTCAACATGACCCCCTCACCCACACTAAACTCTTGACAAGGTACGTAATACTGTGACAGCAATAATTATTTCTATTGCCGACCACAATAAAATACACAATCATATATTTTCAGCCTTCCAGTTTCCTTGGAAACAGTGGTTCTCTTTCCTTTGCCTCTCAACAACCCTCCATTAGAACATTACAAACACACACACAGACCATCAGCCTGACAGGGCAATGGACCGTTCACAATTTCCGTGTGAAACGATTGAAACTCTCCACCCCACAAGACAGCACCATAAACAAGGGTAATTCCACCACTACCCGCTCACGGTGCCAATTTTGGGGGCCTCCACTGTCCTGTTTTATTCATGCGGCCATCTTGTCTTTAAAATAGACCCCATACTTCACACCTCTAGTGAGTGCCAAGTCCTGGAGAAGGGGAGTTTCACTGAAGTTTTCTTTTCCCTGTTTTAATTGATTTCAAATGTATTTCAAGAACTATTCGAGGTAGTGGGTGCCTGGGTGGCCACTCATTTTAACCCTCTCTTAGGCCACACCAATTTAATTTGTTGGTTCTCGGATTCGCCTCTTCGTTTTTTTCTGATTTGCAAAAAAAAAATATGATTCTGGTTCTGAATCAACTGAAAAATGCTCATGTTTTGCCCCCAACAGTTGAGGAAAGTCCTTTTCTTCCTAGTTGTTACAGTTTTCCCATCTATCATTGCAGTGGTTTGATTAAAAGTTCAAAATTCAATGTTTAAATTTTAACCCAGCCTTTTGTGTTGACTTCATGGCTCATTTCGTAGCATTTAAGCCTACAATAGGATGCCTAGACCTGTTTTTTTTTTTTTTTCGCCCTGTCGCTTCATATTTTTTCTGAAAAAATCCGAGAACCAACAAATTAAATTGGTGTGGCCTTAGGCTACAGAGTTATGAAAATAATATAAGAAATTTAGAAAATTGAAAACTTCTGAGAAGTACTTTGGGTTTTCATGACCTCAAGTTCACCTGTCATTCTGCCTGTCAATCTTCCCACCCACCTGCTGTCAACCTACTCTCAAGTTTATCCTATTTCCTGTGTCTGACCTTTTGACCTGTCATTCTGCCTGTCGATCAGCTTTGCCCGATCCATGTGCTGTCAACCTACTGTCTGGACAAACATATACACAAACCCTGCAGCTCAGCCACCCAAAACAATACTTCCATACTCCAAAGAGCAAAAATCTTTATTAAAAACATTTGCCAATATGGTGAATAAAACATTACCCTGCAATGAATGGTGCTCGTTACATGTACATATTAGTACACCTGACCACCTGTCTATATGAGGACCACCTGGCCAATGTGACCACTTTTGGGTGGTCCCTTAGGAGCTCTTTCCCATACAAGTCCTGTCTGCATAGTGACCACCTGCCCACATAGATCACATTTTATCAGTCCCCTGAGTGGCTTTTTTGAGCACTTTTTTTAAAAGCTGTCAGTTGTTACATGACAGGACACTGTCATGTGGAATACACAATAAAAACAAGTAGCCATTGTGCATTGCACTGTCAGAATTTAGTCTCAAACTTACTTAAAACACCACATAAAGATCACTAAAGCTATTGGACTGATGGATGGAAAGCTATGAATCCATGCAGAGAAAAGTCAAACATTCACCTGAAAAATGCAGCCCCATCCTTTCCTCTTTCCCATAGTTCAAGCTCCACAGTTCTCAGCAAAAGCCGGCTCTGCACTGTTTCTTTCCACCAATACTGCTAGGCAACTATCCAACCAACGAACCAATCACTCGCTCCTATCTCTTCAACCGCACCTTAAGAGAGGCCTCTATAACATCCTCGCACAATGATGACATCATTATACTTTGCAATCCCCCGGGACCCTAACTGTACATACTTAAGTGACAGGATTAATCATCACAATTACATTGCCCCAATCTGGCCTTCGGTCGACCCAAAGCGCCGCCCTTTCACATTCCAATCCAATCTTGTTCTGAACTCCAAAGTAAAGTGATACTTTATTGCGTACCTTAAAAAGACTGGGAGGCTATCCGATTATACTATTGAACCAAGAGGTTACATAGTACTCCTCATTCCAATCAGGCCCAATCGTAGTGACTAATATAAGCCGGGATGATTGAATGGGCACTACGGTTTGATTAAAGCGCTGTTTTCTAGGATGTGGCGTCCGGAGTGTAAACATTACCTCTTTCAATCAATGTTAATAAGTCAGCCGTGCCGGGAGAGGGAAGAGGTATTTTCAATCAGTCCTGGACCGTTTTATTGGAGACCCAGTGATTGAGGGGAACAAAATGGTGGGGGAATGTCCGGAGTACGCAATGAAGTCGCTACGGGTGGCCGGGTATGACCCAAATAAGGAACAAACATCTCTATGTTTCCCTCTTATACTCAAGTATGAAGTCTTGATCCTAAAACATTGAATGTGTTTGTTTCTAATGTTTGGGTTATATATTATTCTCCACCACAAAAAGGCTGATATAGTAACATTTTAAACACGTTTGAACTTTTCTTCAATACCTAAACATTGCCTACCTTTCCCTCTTATAGAACTTCAAGTAGTATACAACGTTGAATCAAAGAATCATCATATTAAGTGTTCTCTACCACAAAAAGGCCAATGTACCATAGATCAAGAAACATATCTCTTCTTTGCATGAAAGTTCATCTGTATATATTCATCATATTTCTTCTTCTCCAATCCTTTCAGCACATGTGCACACTTCTAAATCACTTCCCATTCATGAATAATTGCAGACTATAATAAACACTGCCGGGGGTAAAACACAGACTGGAATGACACAATCAGCCTAATGCGACTCAATAACTGCACACATCTCGCGGGCGACGATAACAAAAATTAGACTCATCCAAAGCTCCTGCCATCATTTGTTACAGATCTGGAGATTATTCTCAGCCAAGGGTGATTTCTCACTTATTAATTATTCATAACTCAGTAGGGAACACACCGCATGTTCTTTGTCTTGTCTTGGGGAAAATGATTCTCATTTTTGTCAACACAATACTTCATCAGGACTTTTACCAAGATTGTGATATCAGTAATCTTATAAATTTGTGATGGTTAAACTTTTGACAAATCAACTTTTTTATAGACAATTTCTTCTTTTGTTTTTAGAGGAGGTTGGAATAAACAAGGCAAGTCTCTGCCAACTTGGAAACCCTGCTTGAAAACAGCTTGTTTTGAACCATCACTTGTTTTGAACCATCTAGTAGTCTCAGAGCAGCTGAAGATGACATAAAAGTCTATTTTTGAACTCAACACAAGGACATTGCAGATTCAGTGCAACATGTAGAGTGATAATATCATGTACAATTTTGTCAGTCACAATAATCAACACACATTTTTATCCATTGACAAGTTATTTAGCCCACCCACAAGTAGCTTCTTAGACAGTTTTGTAGTCTGTATTTTTCATAATTTCTTTGGATGTATAATTTCTTGTATCAATAACAAAAAGACATAATTTGAAAGACATTTTCTATACAAATGTAGACATTGAACAAGTTTCACTGGAAAGGAAAACAATATCAAACAGCCTTGTTTTTAAATAATCTTAGTGTACTAAGCTCTCCTACTGTTCCTGAGGATAGAAAATAAAACATAATCTTAAAGGTGTTATAATAATTAACACCCATACTCTGATACTCAATTAGATAATTAACACAACCAACACAAAAGCCACAGTGGACTGTTACCTACCGAATTTCCTCTGAAACAGGCCAGCATGTTCCCTCCTATCTCACACTCGCTGACAGAAAGGACACAACCACATCAGACAAGTGCAGACTGTTCAACAACATCACCCACTCTCAGACAAGCCCTGCCTAACTCATTTATGCAAATGAGGCCACTGCTAAGGCACGGATATGCTAATGAGCCTGTTTCCATGACAATGAGACAGCTGCTTGGATTTGCATGGCCTTTCATGGAGCCAGAAAGCAGAAGGGAGATGTCTGGAACAGCTTTCCATACATGGAGGGGGGCTTATCAGTTGTTAATGGTGTAAAAATACCAAACAGACTGATCCTCTGCTCCAGGACTTCAAGTATGGGATTACTGCAACTTCAAGGTCTTCAAGGACTAGTCCATTGTCAGAAAAGGAGGGGACAGGGTGGAACAGCATAACACTACAGCAATTGCCTCTGATTGATACATTGTACTACCAACTTGAACGAGCTTATACCACTACAAGATTGTACTGCCCAATATACTTGTTAGTTTCTAGCAGGCTAACTATGCTGTCTATATACATCTATACTAGAGAATATTTGCCAGGGGAGTTGGGCTGCCTTGGGGTTTGACTGGCCACTGAGGGAAAGAATCAACTTTCTGCGGACTGGCTCGCTGGCCAATTTTACTCTCCTTTTTGACAAATTCTACAATCTGTATTCCCATAGAAAGGCCTGGTGGAGGCAGCAAAATTTGTTTTGAAAACAAAACCTCCACCAACCTGAATCTATCTACAGTCACATTTCAATGACCCCCAATGTGGCTGTCAATTATGTAAGAACAAATGTAGCCCCATTACCTGTCATTTTCAGAGTACCCCAAGTGGAGCAATGATACAAACCAGACTTGCCAGTCCATTAAAGCTAGAGGTGCCAGCAATAACATTGTATGAATCATAACCCAACCTAAGTATGTTGACTTCATGGTTCCTATCATAATATTACAGGCTCTGGCCTTTTTTATTTCACCTTATCGCTTCATATTTTTTTCTGCAAAAAATCTGAGAACCAACAAATTAAGATGATGTAGCCTTATAATGCAATATAGGTACAGTTTCAGTTTTTGTACCGAGACGATTCCATTTCTAATTTTGAGGTAACCCTCAGAGCTAATTTTGAGGCAACCATCTGCCATCCCAACGCCAGCTAGTCACTTGGGAGCCGCTGATCCATCTGAAGACTACGTCCCTTTTGATCCATGTCCTCACAGATCAGACAGTAAAAGGTCGTGCACTAACCTTACCTCTTACTTTTCACAACCTCATTTCAGGGACCTTTTACAAGATTTGGACGAAATGCCAAGGTGGTTAAAGCCTGTTTGTACTTTAACAGGATTCGGTGATTGTGTAACAGGCCTATATACCTGGACATGATGTTAGGTTGTTAAACAAGCACTACAGGTAAGTTGTTATGTGCGAAACGAGCAGAACATTTGATTTCTGCCTAATTGCAGCACCTTATAGAAGGAACCAGACTACAATGAATTCCATTGTCAGAACCATTTTCAGTTCATTTGCCAAGGGTCATGTGCCAAGTGTCTGTGTGTAAGCATGATAACTCAAGTAGACTTAAATGGATTGTTTTGATATTTGATAGGTGGGGTAGGTCTTGATGATACCTCAAAGTGATTAGATTTTTGGACCCCCTGGGGTTATGCAGTGGAGCTTCCAGTATCCCATCATCTGTACATGCTAGTGTCAAGAGTTTTGGATGTTAGATAGCGAGAGTGCTCAGGCTTAGTGACCATGAGGTTGGTCCCCCTAGCAGCTTGCTCTGGAACTGCAGGGGTGTTTGTTTATTCTACACACCATCTTGGATCTGTTCCACCAACATGGCAGCTGTGCTAACATACTACATTCCCACATGCATAACCACTGCAACTTACCATGAAGTGTGGTTTGATAAGAATGGACTCCAGTTCTCTCGCATCCTCATTGTCGTTGGCACAGTCCTTCAGGGAATCTAGCACCTGGAGGAGACCACAAAACACCAATGTGAGACCCAAATCACCTCCATGTGTACTAGGTTTAGTACTTGTGCTTCCATTTAGATGAATTAAGCTATCTTATCTTGTTCAGTTTGCCCATCCATCCATCTAGACATCCAACCTTCCTTTCATCCATCCATCCTTCCTTTCATCCATCCATCTATTCATATAATAATAATCCATCCTTCCATCCATCCATCCATCCATCCATCCATCCATCCATCCATCCATCCATCCATCCATCCATCCATCCATCCATCCATCCATCCATCCACCCATCCATCCATCCACCCTCCATCCATCCATCCATCCATCCTTCCATCCATCCTTCCTTCCATCCATCCATCTACAGCAAGATGCCTTTCTCTATGTGTCAATTAATGATAAAAATTCCAACAGTGAGTACAAAGTTAGGTTGCATACATGTACCAACAAATGTATGCCACTTTCTTAGTGTACAGCAATTGCAACAGTATGAATGTTGAGCGAGTTGAACGTTTAATGCTTTTCCTAAGAGTTCTACAACAGTCCTCCACCGGACCTTCCCCTTCTCTAGCTTGGGCCCAACTGCCTGATTCCGGGCCCCACGTTCCCCTCATTGGGCCTACCCAAAGCCATTACATGTGCTCCGTCACAATGAAGTTAGACATCCAGACTGTACTGCACCTCAATCTACAAGTATATTACCAGTTGAACCCCTCTGGTTGTTAACCTTGGACTACTAACTCTGATATCTCCTACTTAGAAGTGCGTGATTGTGCACAGCCAAGTGTTACAATCTGCAGCCATCTTGTCGCTATTCACTACGGCTTGCCTTGATACGGCTTTAGTTCTTTCCTGGAGAAATTTCGCAGAGGATCTGATCTATCTAGACAAGGGCAGAGATTCGGGCCCGTGGGAGGCAGACAGAGCAGAAAGCCCATTTCAGACGAGGGTGTAAGACCTGTACAATCCCCGTAGGCCTTGTTATCGCCTTTGCTTCAATATTTTCATAATCTTCTAAAAGCCTGGTCTGCGATTCTGGCCCAGCAGGGTCAGTCTTGATGAATTTGGAGCTCTTGCGTGCAGAAATAATGGCTGACGCGTTGAAAGAGTAAGACGAATATATTCGTCTAGCGTTGAATGCTCCTTAGCATGCTGCCACGCAATTGATACGTATGGACCTCTTCATTTTCTAAAATCAAGTAGTTTACTGACAGTGTGTAACCTATCCCCTGCTAGCTTACTTGTACTTTACACCTAGCTTATCAACTCAGCCAGTTTCAAAGGAAAGACGTATAGGAAGATCATAGGATGATTGGTACTGTATAACAGTAATCTGTACTTAAAGACTGGATCCTAATAAGATTCTTCTCTTGAAGGCATCCAAAGCAACTATCAGCATTTTCAGGGTAGCAAAACAAAAAAAGAAATCTGTGTGATATTGACATTTACTGCAAAACTTATTTTTGTCATCCTTTTATACTTGAAGCGTTTGAAATAGCCCCCAAACAAGCTAGAACCTGCCTTCGATATGCCGGAATAAGCAACCGTTTTCTGTCAGCAACATCACATTTTTGCCTCACAGATATCTGAACGCTATGGGATAGGATTGATTCAACTTACTACACTGAAAAAATCAGCAAAAAATTGACTTTGAAAATCCAGTTTCACTGCTCTGAAATCCCTTCCGATGCCTTTAAAGCACACTAGAGGGCAGATCTATCATAAAATCATGGGGAACACTTCAGAAAGACTCAGGGTTTGAACCCTCCTAAGGACACTGTCAATTCCCCCACCTGTTGTCATGTACCAGATGGAATTATCGATAATCCTCCTGTCACGCTGTAATGTATGACACGCTGGACAGATCCCAACGAACCTTTGATTTTAGAGACAGGCCGTCACGTACACTTGACGAGGATTGATGACTCGGCATCTTTTTTACCATATGTGATCAATAACTGCACTTCACTGTGGAGTTGTGTCAGATAGCGCCCCCCCCCCCTCCCCTCAAGCTTCTGTACCTGTAGCTGTCTTCTCTTGGCTTGTCTTCACTGACAAAGACTTTCAAGGGCCATTTCCACACCTGTATCTGTATTGCCGGTAGCCTTTGGTGTAACACACCAGCTTCTGTATCTGTACTTGTAGAGCCAGTATAAACACTCTACGGCATAACACACCAGCTTCTGTATCTGTACTTGTATAGCCAGTACATGTATAAACACTCTACGGCATAACACACCAGCTTCGTAGGCACACAGCATGGCAGCAGCTGGCTATATTACACTGGACAACCTGTTAGACCCAACCTAAATATAGTGAGGATGCCCCTACTGTACCTGTTTGGCAGCAAAGAGTTCTACTCTACAATAGTTCTAGGAAAATAGTTTTTTAACCCCTCAATCCTCACCTCTGGTGCTTGAAGGCACGACTATCTCTTCTTCAGTCTAATCTAAGTGTCTTTCTAGCTCCCATCAAGCTCCAGATATACTCTCAAGAAGGATGCGCAGAGCATTACTTAGATGCTATCTGCTTGCCAGTTCAAAGGAATGGCATTCATTATTGTGAAGGTTAAGGTTACAACTGTCTCGCTGTTGCTGAAGAGTTTCACACTGGTACATAAGACAAGTGCAATGGCCAAGTGGGTAGAGTGTTTGCCTTGCATTCGGTAGGTCGTGAGTTCGATCCCCGGCCGAGTCATACCAAAGACTTTAAAAATGGTACATACTGCTTTCTCTGCTTAGCACTCAGCGTTTGGGAAAGAGTATGGGAGTTAAACACACACCACTACCAGTGGACTAGCCCCCTGCTGTAGTGACTTCTGTGTGTGGCCCAGGGCAAATGAACGGAGATGGGCGCCGCCCTATATGCGTCACTTGACGCGGGAAGGCTCTTTAACTTAACTTTAACATAAGACAACCTTGTCTTTTGCAGAGCTATGTATATGTCCACTGCACTACTCCGGAAAGTTATCTATTACAATAACCCGGTTTTCAGCACCATGGAAAGTACAGCTTATGTTCTTTTCCAGCAGAAGCATGACTACGCCTGTTTTTTTTCCTTCACTTTTCAATTTCTTCCATAATATTATAGAAACATTACCAGGTTTTCAGCACCATGGAAAGTACAGCTTATGTACTTTTCCAGCAGTAGCCTAACTACATCTGTTTTTTTTCCTTCACTTTTCAATTTCTTCCATAATATTATAGGAACATTTTGGAAAACAGAAGTATATTTGTACCTGAAGGCGAAATTTATCTCCGAAATCATTATCTCAACCATTTCAATTGTCCTGAGATTCCTACGGCATAAAAACACAATTCCTGCTGCCATATAAATGTAATTGTGGAGTCAAAGAAGATGTGAAGCGACGTTCCTAACACCAGGAGGAGACATAACATTTGTACTTAACCAGCTGAGCAGCTCATATCACACACATAACGGCATCGCTATTTCAGCTGTGACATAATTGAATTTTTTACAGCTCTACTCAAAGCACTGTCATGGGGTGTACAAAGGAATTGGTACTGTGGCATTACCATAATATATCTATTAGAGGGCACATTGACAGTTGATGAGAGTACGTGTATGTGTGTCATCAATTTTATTGCTCAGTTGTGATGCGATACAATCAGTTTTCTGACCTTTCATTCAGTTGAGATCCTCTTTGGAAGATAAAAGTGTTAGTTATAAGAAGAAAAATTCATATCCTTTTATGTGAGGGGATTTAAGTTACATAACATGATGTTATACAACAGCTACGTGCCATTTTGTGGGATCACGCTGAGATCTACACGGGTTCGGAAATGTCCTACTGATTTGATATGACGTCAAAGATGTTGCATAAAGGGGCTTTTCTGAGGTTACTAGTTTCATACTCATGTTTTATCATTTTCTTTATTGTTCTGAGTGGATGAAAATGATGTCTCAAAATACAGCAAAGCTTAGTGTCAAGGTAAGAATGAGGCACAGATATACTATCTCCAACCTCGAGCTCAAACAAAGTGACTTCAGAACTCTTTTTTCCAAAGCTTCTGTCTTTTAAGCATATACATGTATCCTAAAATTTGTGGACTGATCGGGATACCTACTTGTAGAATCACTGATTGTACAGGCAGATACCCTGATTGTGATCTCTGTAGACAGAAAGAGACTGTTTGGGATCTCTACTGTCAGAATCGTCGACTTTTTTGGATGGCAATCTTAGCATGATATATTTGTTGAATTCTGTAGACATATCTATCAATATCAACGCCATTCAGACAACCATTCTTTTCTGCAATGTTGATACATGAACAAAGGATTAATAAGCAAGATGAAATCAAGTGAATGATTGAATTTCTTTCTTCACACTGGCAACTTTTTGTACCATATTGGATCGCAATGTCTCCTTCTGGATTAAGAACATTTATTGTACTATCATGCATCCATTCATACAGTACTGAATCTGACACTGAAGTGAAGAAGGCTCTGTTAATAGAGTCTCGAAGGATCGTTCCCGGAAAAGCTCTCTTAACAGTTCCACGAAAAGTCACTTAGGGTGGCGGCAGTGGTTTCATTACTGTAATGTGGACGTCCTAAGGGGGCTGTGATTTTTCGTAGAAAAGCTCTTACCGCAAAATTTCGACTAATGCAGGTCAGAGGAGTGTGTCGTCATTCGGTCCAGTAAATCATGATGCTGAATGCTAATTTTGTCATCAATTTGATGAATCACAGTCGCGATTCCTTTTTCTATGAAATTAAGATTCCAAAAAAAAAAACACAACAAGAAAAACAGTTTGCAAGTTTGTTTTTTTTTATTTTGTGACCTTTTAACTTGTTTGAGTTGACACACCTCAGGTTTTTGTGAATGTACTGGAACTGTGGAACACGGTCAAAATCACCTCCCAGACCACTATGCAACTGAAGCTATTACAGGACACACAGATAAGCAAAGCCACAGCTCAGCCACCCGAAACAAAAAAATGCCATATATAAAACCACAGAAATTGAGTGTTGAATTCTGTCCAACTTTCTCAGCAGTATAGGCAGTCAGGAAACATGTTTAATCTACAATCTTTCTGATGCCCTTGGTGCCATCACTAAGTCATTAACGCACTTCACTCCATAAAAAAAGCTTTCACTTCAAGTGGCGGATTAAAACTACAAGAACTTAATGCCTCTCCCGGACAGGCCTTTGATGGAAATACTACTCCCCAGAACCCCCATCATGAGGATTTCCTCGGATCCATCTCCTTTGACCTTTTTAAGCCTTTTCTGCTTTGTTGTAAAACCCTGCCACATTTCAGGCCAGCGCATTAGAAGCTCTCAGGAGGCACTTACGACCCAATCCAAGTCGTAATCCTCGAGATTGGCTTTTTTATCTCCGCGTAGAGATCGCCGTAGATTGGTTATTTCTACACGAGTGGTGCGAATGTTTCTCTATTTGTGTCAGAATCTATTGGAACACTGACCTCTGCCAGAGAGCAGCATAAATTGGCTATTCTTGAGGTCAGGTCTCTCGATGGTTAGACCGTTTCCGACGGAAACAACGTCAAGTAATGCAATAGATGCAGGATCAGGAGAGACGTCTACTTTCGATCGACCCTTGATTACTTGGCCTTGGCTTCCTGTTCTTCATTTACACCTTTGATATGTATGGGCCAGACTAACACATTATACCAATTTCAGTCACAGAATAATATCAAACAAATCCAGCAAGTTATAAAGGTTTCTTCAAAAAGCAAATGTTGACATGAAGGTGGTCAAGTTCCTACCAGTAGTCTTACAAGCATATTTTTTGATATTGGATAACAAGCCTTTCCTAAAATTAACACTTTTTTTAAAATGAAAAGCATCTCTTTTTCACACTACAGGTAACTCACATCATAATCTTAAGGATACCCATAGCATGATAAAATTTCATGCATTGAATGTCAGTAGTAAGAGTTTCTTCTTTGAGCCTTGGTCACATACTTTGTACAATGCCCCTACAATGTTTTCATGATACATCGTAGGTTTGACCAGAAATGGCTACATGCACCAGACAAATTGCTCCTCAAATCTTCAATATTCCTCACGACAGTCATGGGAAAAATATATCACAGGAGCATCACATGATGCATGTGATCAAGGATTGACTGGTCAATATTGATGTATATTTTTCTACATCTTCCTCAGCGATGCTTCAAAGGAAATGTATCTGCATAGAAGCATCGAAAGGGGAACTGGCCAGTCCAACTTAGATCTACCAAGGTTGATCTATTCCTACTTACAGTTGTCAAGATTTGATTGATAGAAGGATGCTGTAGGTATAGATCCGGATGATTCAAGCAATACTAGCCTGGAGGCCTGAAGACACTACTCAAGTAGCATTTTTGTGGCTTTGAAATTGTCCATCAAACAGTGTTGAAGAAGCACAGCAAGACTGTGACAGTTCCTTTTATCTTGCTTTAAAGCAGTGTGTTTCCCAAGGCCACTCCTGTCTAATTTGTTTGTACTTTGAGTTCAACAACTAAGGCTGAAATGTACATGAGTTATGTATATACTTTGGTTTACATTGGGGTAAATGTTGCAACATGTCAAAGACAAGTTTTCTTTTTGATCCTCTATTTTCATAATTTCTATTTTCAAAATTTGCTGAAATTCATGAACAAAGCATCAGATTGGTGTCGCCTGATATCTCCTAATAGAATTTCACAGTTTTTTACAATGCATGTTTTTTACAAAATTATTCAACCTCTGCATGTTTTTTTTTACAAAGAAGAAGAAGTTAACTCATACACTTTCAACATTATTGTAAACATTCCCTTAGACCAAAAAAAGTCTACTAAACATACACTTGGATTGGCCTGGCCAGAGCTGCGAGACGAATTCACAACACAAACGCTGAAGTAATCCTGGGATGAGAAGGATTCTGAGTGCCGTTATTAGTCAGTAATACTAAAAGCTATAATTCCCACCTGATGTGCAGCCGAATCTGATGCTATGTTTGCTTGAAGAGATGAGGCCTTGTCATATAGAGTCTTAGTGTATGACTTATGGTGATTTAGACTTTGTATGTGATTTATTGTGAAGCTTCGGGGAATCTACTTTATTACAATCATTATAGTTTAATGGTGACAGTTGATGGGGTGCTCAGTAGGGCCTGGTCTGCAATATGTGCAATCATTGGGGGAGGTAATATACATTTCCAACTGTGAAAATATTGAAGAAAAGAGATAATTAATGTTAATTTTAGTGCGATGTACAATTGCAGATGTCCAATGATGTATATTCTGTCCTTTGTACTGAAGATGTTGTTGTACAATGGAAAACAATATTCTTCCTTACTGCAATGTTTCTATCAGTTTACTCTAATACATCCATGATATTTCACACTAGAACTAGAAACCAGAAACACACTTATGCATTCATTCACTCATTCATTAATTCATTCATTTTCATTCATCCATCCATCCGCCCAACCATACACACATTCACTTTGTCCAGATGCAATACAGCCCATCATTTGAAATTTCAATCTGACCAATGAAAATCATGTTTGCCATATCCCACCATGCAATGTGCTTAATGATTGACAGGTTAAATGTTTGTCTCACCTCTCTGGCCCGCTGGAGTGCGTTGGAAGGAGGGTTCTTCACTGTCTGGGACGCCTTACTGTTGATCTTGTCATACAGCTGCAGAAACAACATGGTACACACTTGTTAATCAAACACTCAACAAGAAATTAAAGATTTCAGACTTCTGGCAAGGTTTGAGTTTTTGTGAATGAATTATAACTGATTGAAGTACATTATAAAATCAACATATAATTCTATGACATAACTTATAAGTTATGTCATAGAATTATATGTTGATTTGAGTACTAATTTTATACTCTGGTATTACACCATGGTTTACATTTCATACCAATATGATTACACAGTTCACATTATCTGCTGGTGATCACCCAGAGAATGGTGGGCCACAACCCTGTCAATCAACTGAAACCCAATCTCAACCCACTCACTTCCAATCATTGTTGCTAAGGACATACAAACTCCCCAAACACCAGCCAAAACAATTTATTCATCCCACATGGAGTCATACCAGGATCAAAGAACAAAGTTATCGGTACAAATTACGTTAACGACATGATACTTGTCTAGACAAATGTAAGCCAAATGTTGAAGGTCAAGAACAATTCAAAACTGTAGATTTCCCAAGGCTACTATGTGTGGGATGCAATCAGACCTGTACTGGGCAACATGGGAACAATTTCAAACGTCAACCAACATCTCTTGTGCGTTATACATTTTTATAGATGGGATTCTTCCAAAACTATCGGTCACACTATGTCGCAGAACTAATTTCATGTCTGCTTGCCTTCCTCTCCTAATTAGTGTGCTGATTGAAATAACGACAGGACTACAGCTATGTAATTTATCATTGTCTATCATTCAGGACACAATACATGGAACAGGCAGTCACAGAAAACAAACCACAAGGCTATCTTGTGGTCTGTCGTCAGTTGCCTATTAATCAAAAGAATGTCAACTTGTTGTCTAGTCATCATTTTTCATCCTTTGTGAATTATTGTAGAAAGGTGATGATTGCACAGCTGATATGAGTTATTCATCTCCCTTTGCCAAACAATGCGTTCCTGTGATACCACGGCACCACAGTGACGTCAGCACTCCACCAGATAGTACTGTAGATCGTGAAACTTTTCTAATGTTTTATTTTCGTGGGGACATCTCATTCGTGAAATTTACTGAACTGTGAACATATCATCCTTGTATGACTTTCGCCTAGGTACCATCCGGATTTACCATCCCGAAAATCAAGCGTTGCGGAGTGAAAATCCTGATGGTACCCAGACTAGTATGACTTAACTGTACTATATATGGCCTCCTTCGGTCAGTATTGACCATGGTAAGATCCTAATCAATTGAATAGCCCTACAGCTTTGGCTATGGCTGAACTGTCCTATATGAGAACGACAGTCTCTGCCACCAGATAGTACTAACTGTAAATCATCAAACTTTTGCAGTGGTTTTATCTTCGCAGTAACCTAGCTCTTCTTTGTGAAATTCATGGCACAGCAAATTTGTCATCCATGTATGACTGAACTATACAGTACCTGGTGGCCTCCTTTGGTCAATATTGACCATGGTAAAATATTAATTGTTAAAACAGCCCTAGAGCTTTGGCTATGGCTGAACAGTCCTATACAAGAATGACAAGTCTCTGCCACATAGTGCATATTTGTAAGCTGACTAAGGTCTGACTCAGTAAGTTAAGCTGACTTAACTGTACAACAGTATTGCTTAAACCATGAATTTAAAAAAAAATGTTAAAGCCTCCCTTTCACTCCTATTGCAAGATAAAATTTAAGCTCAAACCACTGCAAAAGGTTCCCAATTTACAGTATACACAATTGTATTCAGTCCCAGGAATGCTCCATCCATCAACGCAATGCCAACTTGCCATCTGTTCTCATCATCAAAAAGTTGTCAAAATGCTGATGGCGGATCCTCTGTATAATAGATAACCATCTGTCTCTGCTTTTCCCAAGTAATTTTCTCTCCTATGATAGCAGAAAAAGTCGTTCAAGCGATAAGAATAACAAATGTCTGACTCATGTCAGCTTTACAAAGCAAAGACTTTCACTGGTACCCAAAAGTCTAAGTCTTCGAAAAGGGTCTACATTTCTCTCTCTATATATATATGTATTGAATGTTCTCACACCCCTATATAACCCACTCTTCTTTCTTCAAATAAAGATACTTCATACATACTTATATCTTCTTGCAGTTATACTTTAGTAAGTCAACAGAACATACTGTAATGTCATTTTGTCAATGTCATTCATCCCCAAAGCACGCCTGCATAACACAGATTAATCCTGCTGCATTTCTCTCAGCTAGGAGTTAATTTTGCGTAGAAGCAGTGACATTGCCATACTGCCAGACTAATGTACATGTGGGGATACTTGTGCAATAACTTACTTCCTGTCCTTTAAGTTTTTTAATCCTTCCCTGACACAATGTTGATTACCAATGTCATGATGATAGTACATCATGCATGTAAGTCATCGACGGCTGACAATGAGCATTCTTTTATGAACTATGAATTTCAAAGAATTAGTGCACAACAGATAACAGTCTCTTCCTGACTCATTGTTATACAATCCCTCAGTCTCACTGTCAATTGAACTGATTGGGCCTACTCTCAGAGAGTTTGTGGCCATACACCTCTAACTTGAGAGAGCCATTTCCATTTCTAGAACTACCAATAGGAGCTCAGAATTATTTATCACAGTCGGACTATGAAAATCCAGACCAACAGCTTAGGATTCTATGTCCCTATGAAACCCAGTCATAACATGGTAACATACAGAGTTGGCCATCAAACTTCTATTACACATTCTTCTAGGAGCCTGACCAGTGTAACTTCAACTGTAAGACTGCTAGGAGTGTAATGTAGTCTGGCTAGTTCAACACCAGGGCGGCCATTTTCAACTGACAATATAGACTCAATGATGACAGATATTTCCTGTAATCAATAGTTCTCTAACATGTCATTCTCCCCTGAAACACTGATAGTAGCCACCTGATACCTGCCATACCACAGTAAGAGAGAGCTGAGCACTCAAACTCAAACCATGGATGGATGTCAGTGTTGCAAGTTCTTCTTCTACATTGTAATGAACAGGCCGCACACCGGACTTTAGTGGAGCTTCATACTTTATTGTCCTGCCTCCAGGACTCTAACTCCAGAGTGAGGTTCCTGGGTTGGACTATTATACTGTCAGATAGGAAGGGGGGGGTTTACAACAGGACTGCTCTACTTCTAAAATAGGGGGTTCTTGTGTGGTAATGGACAAATGGTATACAGTGGGTTCACAACAGTCAGTTACTGTATCTCCCCATCACTTAGCGTGATGGCAGTGCAGCCATCAGTGTGGTTAATTCAGCTTTATCTGGCCATAAATAACCCTGCTGTCAGGGGCGATGATGGATTATCGTAAGGGCGGAAGGAGGGAAGTGACACGCGAGGTTGTTTTGCAATGATGGTTTAACGAACATGTTGAATCAACAGGACAGTACCAGGTCTTCAAAAGCATAACATTATAAAGAGGATTGTACTGTACAGTAATCAAATCATGACACAAAGAGCTCCTGTCATTGAAAACAGTTCAAACTTGAAGACTAGTAATCCAAGATACAATGTCTTCAAATTCTACAAAAATACAGCTACCAAAACACAGGAGAGTGATTCTAAACATATAATGTAAAGATATTGCCTCATAAAATTGATCCTTTCTCTTTGGTTCATTTTACCTCAAGGACACATTTCTTACACTTGTTGCTGAACATCCAATATTTCACAACTTTCCAACACTAACCCCTGCTCAGAAAAGCGCCTCTTCTTTTTTTAAAGACATAATGTAAAAATTTTAAATGCTAGAGACAATGCTTTCTCTTCGGGACATGTTAGGGCCTCCAGCATAACTACACTTGTTGCTGAACATCCAATATTTCACAACTTTCCAACACTAACCCCTGCTCAAAAGTTCTGCCCGGGGGTATCCCCGGCTCTTTACCTCTCTCTCATACATGAAAAGCTCTCCGCCAAATTAAATCCATGGCTCCTTAACTGAACAGGTCCTCCTCAATCACTGTCAGAGGCGGGCTAACGACCTGACACTGGCTAAAAGGCCGTAATGTACCTCAGCAAGGAACATTTTAATGACTCCCCGCACACAAACGAGGGAAACCCTTAATGAAAACTGGCAGTTATCTAATCACATTGTGGAGGATAACCTTTTAGTATGATGAAACTGCATTGACCAGTTCACAGTTCTGTCACTGTTTATATCTCCCGTGAGTGTGTACAAGCAATAAACCTGTTTACACTAAGTGTTGTAGTAAGGACCAGTTTACTTTACAATGTAGCTTGGTAAGTGCACCTCCCGCTTACTGCTTAAATTTGGTCTAATCTGCATTGACCAGTTCACGACTCTGTCACTGTTCATATCCCCCATGAGTGTGTAAAGCAATAAACGTGTTTACACTAAAATGTTGTACTAAGGACCATTACTTGGCTTTACTTTACAATGTAGCTTGGTAAGTGCACCTACCGCTTACTGCTTAAACTTGGGTCTAAACTGCATTGACCAGTTCACGAATCTGTCACTGTTCATATTTCCCGTGACTGTGTACAAGCAATAAACCTGTTTACACTAAGTGTTGTGCTAAGGACGATTTTACTTTACAATGTAGTTTGGTAAGTGCACCTACCGCTTACTGCTTAAATTTGGTCTAAACTGCATTGACCAGTTCACGAATCTGTCACTGTTCATATCCCCCATGAGTGTGTACAAGCAATAAACGTGTTTACACTAAATGTTGTACTAAGGACCATTACTTGGCTTTACTTTACAATGTAGCTTGGTAAGTGCTCCTACTGCTTACCACTTAAACTTGGGTCTAAACTGAAGGCAATTTGCACTGACCAGTTCATAACACTGTGGTTGAAATACACCACGTACAAGCAATAAACACATTTGTGTATCTATATATCCTTGTGCTAAAGACTTTGAAAGAGGAACATTACATGGCCTAACTTTACAATGTTAGCTCAGTAAGTGCATTTACCACTTAAATTTGGGTCTAAACTGAAGGCATTGACC